ACCAAGCCGGGGCAAGAACCCAGGTCTCCTGACACTCAGGTCAGTGTCACCTCTCCACCAGGCTGCCCAATCATCTTTGCTAAGCCATGCCCATCACTGTCCTTGTCACCCAAGATGTCAGAGAGAAAGGCTATCACAGCTTCCCACAGTCCTCGCCTGCGGTGATTAGATAAGGGACACTTTATACTTATACGCTGGGGATTGTCTAGCTTGGAGAGGCCTTGGGACTCCCTCTGTAGCACTGATTTTGGGGGCCCTCAATTTGGAAGCCACTTATACTCTGGTGACAGTCTTTGCCTTCGAACCCGTCAATGTGATGGAAAGCTTGAGGCCTCACTCCCTGCCAGGGTAAGATGGAGAGGAAAGGGCACAGGTCGCATTTCTTTTCCTTGGGTAGGAAGTGGCTGGAAGGTGCTTTAGTCCATTCAGGCTGCTGTAACAAAATTCCACAGATTGGGTGGCTTATCAACAACAGAAATTTACTTTTCACAGTTCTGGAGACTAGGAAGTCCAACACCCAGACTCTAGCAGGTGCCTGGTGAGGGCCCACTTCCAAGTTCATAGACAGCTGTCTTTTCACTGTATCTTCACATGATAGAAAGGGCAAGGGAGCCCCTCTTTTTAAAGAGCACTAATCCTGTTCATGAAGGCTCTACCCTCATGATCTAATCACCACCTAATGGCTCCACCTCCCAACACTATCACATTAGGGATTAGATTTCAACATACGAGTAGGGGGAGCGGGGACCCACAAACATTCAGTCTATAGAAAAAAGAACCCGGAGTTTCTGAGGTGGATTCTGTTAGATGATCACGTGAGGAACGAACTCTGGAGGGAGTAACGATCCAAGCCAAAAAGAGAAACAGAGGCAGCTTCTAGTACCTGACGATGAGCGCAGCCTGGAAGAGGGGTGGGGGAAAGGGGTGGGGGGAGGTACCAGGCCACCAGTATAGGTGGCACCCAGGAGAACTTGAGGAATCAGGGCGGAATCTTTGGCTTCCACTCCCATCATGTGAGAGGTGGATGGGGTTGGGGGGATGGCACAAAGCAGTCTGCCAGGGGCAGGCACCTGCTCTCTTGCCAGAGAGAGGAGCCTCTGCTTTGGCACGTATGCAGCAGGGACAGAGACTGTCAGGGACAGAGACTGATGAGACCGTCTGCATCTTGGGTTCCACAACTCAGGAAGGCCATCAGTTTTGCAAACATGGAAAAGGTGAAAAAAAGAGGGGCTGCGGGGCTGTGTAGGGTGTGTCAGGGAAGTGAATGTCCTGTGCAGTTGTGGTTGGAGCTGTACATGTTCTGAGCGTCTTGTGTATTATTACAAACAAGGTGTGTTGCCCCACCCTGCCCCGCTTTCCATGACTTTGCAACTACCTTGCTTTCACTCTCTCTCTCCCATTCTCCCAAAACATCTATGACTTCTCTTGACCACCAAAAAACAACAAAAACACCCACATTTCACAGCCTGGCATTTAAAGCTGAAGATTCACCAGGCACACTTCGAATTTCCTGCCTCTATGCATTTGCTTGCACTGCATTCTCTGCTTTCTCAACAACTGATCTTCAGTAATTGAAGTCTTTTTCTAGGCTAAGTTCAGATGCTGCCTCTCCCAGGAAGCCTTCTCTGATATTCCTGGCCCAAGGACCCTTCTCTCTTCTGAATGCTAGAGTAATTTTTTTCTACCTCTTCTGAAGTAGTCTTACATTCTGTCTTACATTTTAACCATAGGGGGGAATGCTGTTGGTCTCCCCCATTAAATGGTATAGTCTTTGAAGACTTACACATTTGTCTCATTCATTGTTATATCCCCAGCACCTAGCACAGTGCCCTTTGCATAGCAGACATGTAATTCAAATTATATTTATAAAACAAATAAACATATGTGCTGGGAGTATGGAGATGAAGGAGAAAGTTTTTTCTGTCCATGAGGAGCTCATAATCTAATGAGGAAAAGAGAGGAGCAGCAATAAGAATTAGTTTAATATAAAGCTCAGGCAACAGCATTTGATCTATAAGTCTGTGGGTTTTGGGAGGGCAGGGATGGTGGCAAGGTGGAGAACATGCAGGTTGAAGGAACTGCCTGGGTGGAAGTACATGGCCTATCTGGGGAAGGTAGTAAGGAGCGTTAGGACTGGCACATAGGAAGCATGCAGGAAAATAGTTATCTCCAGAGAGGGGATGTGGGCACTGCATCATCGAGGGCCTAGGGTGCCTTCCAAGGAATTTGGATTTTATTATTATTCTTTTTTAAAGATTTTATTTATTTATTTGAGAGAGAGAGAGATAGGGAGACAAAGCACGAGCAGTGGGGTGGGGGGGTGTGTGGAGGAAGAAGCAGGCTCCCTGCTGAGCAGGGAGCTCCCACGTGGGGCTTGATCCTAGGACTCCTGGATCACAACTCAAGCAGAAGGCAGATGCTCCACTGAGTTAGCCACTCAGGCACCCCTGGATTTTATTCTTAAAGCCCTCAAATGAAGAGACATTGAACTTTCTTGAGGAGGAGTGTAACAAATACTTAATGAAGGAATGACTCAGCACTGTATTTTGGGTGGACACTATTCTTTGGCCAGGTCTGTTTTAGGAAAATCTTATATTGGTTGCTGAGCACCACCCATTCTGTGAGGCCAGCCTGTCCCCTGGTGAAGCCACCTCTTTGTGAGATGTTCCCTTTTAAAGGGACCATCCTTGAAGAACCCTTGGTTAGGTTGGAGAAGTCTGTTCTGTCCTCTGAAACAGTGTTTTTCTGACCCATCCCATGGGTCCTACATTCTGCTTGGACTTTTGTACAGAAATTCTTCTGTTTGGACCATATTAGGGTCCTCCAGAGAAACAGAACGAATAGGAGATATAACAAGATTTATTATAAAGAATTGGCTCAGGCAATCATGGAGGGTGAGAAGTCCCAAGATCAGCCATCTGTAAGCTGGTGTAAACTCCAGTCCAGGTCTAAAGGCTTGCAAAGCAGGAGTGCAGATGGTATAAATACCAGTCTGAGGGCAGGAGAAGACTCAGCTCAGCAGACAGGCAGGGACACCCAGTGACATCTACTATTTGTCACTGAAAATGAAACTTTCTGAGCCTAGAACTGGCTGGGCCCCCGCCATAATTTGACTTTTGTGGAGACGGGGGTGAGGGGTGGAGATGGGGCAAAGTCCTGTACAGAAAAAAATCACAGGCTTTGGGGTCAGTTCTAAAGAATCAGCTGAGGGTATGCCTGGGTGTGCCTTCCTTCTCAAAGGAAGAAGGAAGCTGTGCTTGGAGGGAGCTGTCTGCCTTTGGCTCAGGTCATGGTCCCAGCGTCCTGGGATCGAGCCCCCGCACAGGGCTCCCTGCTCCGTAGGAAGCCTGCTTCTCCCTCTCCCACTCCCCCTGCTTGTGTTCCCTCTCTTGCTGTCTCTCTCTCTGTGTCAAATAAATAAAGAAAATCTTTAAAAAAATAAAAATAGAAAAGAATCAGCTGAAATCACTTATTAGTTGTATGACCTTGGCAAAGTCACAAATCTCTCTGAGCCTTGGCTTCTTAATCTGCAAAATGGGGATAATTATGCCTACTCCAAAGAATTACCGTGAAGGGGGCACCTGGGTGGCTCAGCTGTTAAGCATCTGCCTTCAGCTCAGGTCATGATCCCAGGGTCCTGGGATCGAGCCCCACATTGGGCTCCCTTCTCAGCGGGAAGCCTGCTTCTCCCACTCCCACTCCCCCTGCTTGTATTCCTGCTCTCGCTATCTCTCTCTCTCTGTCAAATAAATAAAGAAAATCTTTAACAAAAAAAAAAGAAGAAGAATTACCGTGCAGATGAGTATAAGTATTACCTAGCTTGCTGCCTGGCACATAGGAGGTGCTCAGTAAATTTGGTACTTGTTTTATGGTACTTGTTTTATTCATATTTGTAGGGTTAAGTAGAGGCTACTGTTCTGCAAAGAAGAAGGAAGCTGTGCTTGGAGGGAGCTGTTAGGTGCCTTAATTTAGGGGGCTGAAAACTTCCAGCCTAGATTACCTTTAGAGGTCAGTTCAGTTCTTACCTGTCTCCCCTGCCTACCTTCTATTCTCTGAGCTCTGCCCTCCTGCCAGCAGCTGTGCTCACATCTGATAAGTAGGCAGGAGCCCAGCCCTGACTGAATGAGGACATTGTTGCAAAAACTGAGTAACCACAGGCAATACTGCAATCAGCCCTGCCCTGAGAAACAATGGAGAATCTGTGGTTGGCCTTCAGCTGGTCCAGCTGTGTGTTTGAGGTGAGAGCCTAGGTGGCTGGGCCTCCTAGAGTGATGAGAAAACTGTTAGGACATGCTAGAGAGATGCCCTGCTTTTCTGGAACTGAGGTTAGCATGTTATGTTCCCTTCAAAACTAAGAAACCCCTAATTATGGGTCTTCCTCAGAACTGGGCACTAAGTTGGTCCCCGGTGCAAAGGAGGAAGTAGATTGATCCATGGAGACACGGCTCCGCAGATGCAGATACAAGGGGGATAGAGAGAGAGAGAGACAGAGACAGAGACAGAGACAGAGAGAGAGAGAGAGAAAGAGTGTGTGTGTGTGCGCGCGCGCGCGCGCGCGCGCGCAGAGACAAGGGAGTTTGTGTGTGTGTGGTACCAGATGATGGGTAAGTTGTTTTTTTGTTTTTTTTTTTTGATGGGTAAGTTTTTAAAGAAGATATAGAGAAGGAAGGCAGGCCGGGCAAAGGAACCAGCACCAACGAAGGCTAGAGCTGAGTTGGGGGACTTGGAAGGTTTAGCAGCAGGTGGGCGACGCAGCGACAAGTTTTGGAGGTCACTCGACCTGGGTAAGGTCAGAAGGATGCTGTGCTAAGCATTCCCTCCTTTCCAACAAACTGTTGAGCGCCTGCGTGCCAGAAGCTGTTCTGGGCAATGGGAAACAGCAGTGAAGATTCCGACTAAGCCCTTCCTGAGGTCGGCTTGACTGGCCTGGGCTTTTGCGGCCAGAGGTAGCGTGGCTCGGACAGCACCTTAGATCTCCGGATGCACATGGGTCTGTCGGCAGCTCCGCGGTCCCGCTGCGCGCGCCGCCTAAGCTTCTCCACTGCCCCGCCCGGCTCGGAGCCCGCCCCTAGCCCGACCCACACGTGGGTTCCCGCACGTCCGCCTGGCTCCCCCCTGACGTCAGCCTCGCGGTTCCATTTAAGGCCCCTCCCGCGCTCAGCTCCGAGTGTCGGAGCTGCTGCCGCCAAGTCCGGATCCAACCTCGCGCGCCGCTGACGCCCGCCCGCCCGCTCGCCCGACGTGCACTCCCGGTACGGTCGGGCCCCAAGCGCGCTGAGCTGGAGGGTCAGGAGAGCGAGTTGCCTCTGGATTGCTAGCTCGTGCTGCCCGCGAAGGGCTCTCAGCGTCCGGGGCGTGGGGGTGGCGGGGTGGAGGCAGAGTCCGCAGCCCTGGGCGATGGCCACGCCATGCGTGGGCGCCGCGTTCCGCTTTTGCTCTAAGCGGGCACCGCGGCCTCTGGTCGGGCTGGGGAACCGAGGTGGCCGCAGCTATCTGTGGTCGAAAGCCCAGGTAGATGCAGAAAACAAGGATCTGACAGATTTGAAGGGTGGGGCATACCTCCGGGCTTAAAATAGGCAAACGGCGCAGAACTCGAGGTCCGGTTTCCGAAAAGCCTCAGCAGTCGGGGCTGGGGGAAGAGGGAGGAGGTCTGAAAGCCGGGCAGCGCTGCTCGGGTCGCTTTTTAACCTGGGAGGCTCGAGAGGTGGACTCCACAGAGCGGCTGCTGTCTGCTGATTATAGGGCGCTCTTTGCGCAGATTACACTAAGCTGCTGATGTATCGGGTGCTACGCTAGGCACGATGCGTGCAGAGATGAAGCAGGAAGAGAGTCTCAGCCCTCCTGCATCGCAGATGGTATTTTGAGAGTAGGATATCTGGTACCATCCACTCGTTCTGAGAAATGGGGGAACCTAAAGCTGGGAGAAGGTTAGGGCAACTCAGAGGTCACAGAGTGGTGGCAGAGTTGGGGAGTAGACCCTCTTTCTGTAGGGCTCTTCCCTCACCCGTGTCCGCACATTGAAGGGAGCGCTGGATCCCAGGGCTTAGGTTTTGGTGAAGCCAGGTCTAGAAATAGCAGTGATTTGTGAGGAGAGACCCGATTCCAGCTTGGTAACTCTGGGCTGCCTGCCTGGAAGTCCTCTCGGATATTTTTGTCCTTTTGGAACTCAAGACTAGACGTGCCGCTTTGGGATGCAACCTGTGATAATCTTCCCGGTGAATGCAGTGCAGGGTTGGATTAGCAGAGCGAAGGCCTCCTCCCCGGCTCTGGAAATGGAGGATTCCACCAAGTATCTATTAGAAACTTTAGGGCTCCAGGCCTCTGCAGCTATTTTTGCACTTCCTCCTACGGGGCCTCACGGCTTTGCAACATCGATCACGGTAGAAGCCACAGGAGGCTCCTCCCTCCCTGTTAACAGCAACCAAGTATTTGAGATTTAAAGTCTGGCTGTGGCCGCGCGCGAGGCCAGGGAGGCAGCCAGCAGGGGCACTAGTTAGGTCTAAAGTCCGCCTCGGGGCTCGCTCCGTGTGACCCTAAGAGCATGCTAATTCCCAATCCTTTCCGCTCATGGGCGGGGCTTCCCAGCCCGCCGCGGTCTGCCCCAGTGCCCGACTTTGGAAAGCCACGGCCCGGACTCTACTCTTGTCCCCGCCCACTGCTTGGAAATGAGCATGCGCGCAAGCCCCGAGCAGGGCAAGGTGGGGGAGGGGCGGTAACCCCAGGAGCTCCTGCTGAGCGTTGGTCTGATCTCCGCCCATCCTTCTGGGGCTGGAGGAAGGAGTGAGTGCGCATGAGCAGAGCTTTTTGCACCTCCTACGGCGACTGGATCGTTTCGTGAGGCAGTTACAGGAGCTTTTTAAACGTTCCTCCATTTGAGGGTTTGGCGGGAACCCTGGTGACTGGAGTAGAGCTGAGCAGGCAGCTCACAGTGATTTTGTGTGAGGAAAGGCGGCCCTGCTTGGGGTTAATAAGTCAAGATGAGTGAGTCGTCAGGAAGCTATACTTACACCCAAACGTCAATATTATTTTTCCACGCCAAGGTAAGATCCTTTACACCAAGATCCTAGGCAGGCCAGACCCTGGCATTAGGTCTTTCAGCATTCCTTTGGCCATCTTTAGGTTTTTTCCTTACCCCTTTTTAGTGGCAAGCATCCCAGAAGTAAAATAAGCTCTTTTGGAACAACTTTTGGTCAATAGCATTAATTTAAAGAAGATGTAGTGACTGTGCGTGTTATTCCCCCTATAGATTCCTTTTGGTTCTAAGTCCAAAATGGCAACTCTCAAAGATCAGCTGATTCAGAATCTTCTTAAGGAAGAACATACGCCCCAGAATAAGATTACAGTTGTTGGGGTTGGTGCTGTTGGCATGGCTTGTGCCATCAGTATCTTAATGAAGGTAAGTGAGAGCCCATCTTTCTGGAAGCCACCCATCCCCCCACTCCTCCCAGAATTGCATTATCACATTGTATGTACAAATACTCAGGTTCATGCCCTCAAAGAACTTTCTGTGGAACAAACTTTAGAAATGTGATGCCATACCAAAAAGGTATCTGAACCTTTTGTTAGGCAGGTGACACAGTTCCTTAAATTCACTGTGCCGTGTTAACATGCATGAATTGCCTACAAATGAAAAGTTATTTTAAAATAATTGTTGAATTGAAAATCATTCATACATTTGGTAAAATTAAAATCACACTAAATGTGGGAAATCTTAAGTCTATCCCACAAAAATCCCCACCTTGAATAGTAAATTTTGGTACCAATTATGGAGCTAAAATTTAGTTAGAAAGAATTTGTGAATGAATAAAGAACACATTTTACAGTAGTCAAGCCTGCTTTATGTAAAAAAAAAAAAAAAATTGAGGCAGCTTATGATAAAATATTTTAAATTTAGATTTGGAGTTCCCAATAAGGGAGTGAAATGATTAATTCTGGGTTTTGAACAGGAAAGGATTGAAATAAGGAACCAAAGGCAGAAAAGAGCTATGTAGAGGTTGGGTAACAACACATGTTGCTTTATATGTGTTCTTAGGAGAGGCCACATAGTGTAAAGGTTTCCCCCACTATCCTAAAGGAGAGCATTCCTATGGAGCTTTTCCAAAGCCAAAATGGTGTAAAGTGAAGAGACAGTTACCATTAATTAATTATTATTATTATTATTTTTAATTTTATTTATTTATTTGACAGATTCATAGCGAGAGAGGGAACACAAGTGGGGGGTGGGGTGGAAGAGGGAGAAGCAGGCCTCGATCCCAGGATCCTGGGATCATGACCTGAGCCGAAGGCAGACGCTTAACGACTGAGCCACCCAGGCACCCCTAGTTACCATTAATTTATATGGAAAATTTTTTGAGCATTTGCAGACCCAAGAAAAATAACCTTAGGCTTTTCTGATACTTGAGGACACATCTTGCTAACAGATGCACAAAATAAAGTACAGATGCTCACACAGTTCAAAGCTATGGTAGCTTGATATTGAGATGCTGAGTAAAGTTCCCTGGGGAAGGAGCTTGGTGGTACCTAGGATGTATGCTACTTCTCCGAGGGCTCACTGTAGAAAAAAACACTGAATGCTATTTCTGCTTTTTGCCTTTTTTTTCATAAAAGCAAAGATCCTCTTTGGATTTCTTTCAGTTAGTGAAAAAAGGTACTAATGTTAGGTCTTGTGTAAAAGTGAATTGGCATAATGTAAAAAATAATGTAAAATAATGTAAAAAAAAAAAAAATTGAGGCAGCTTACACTTTACATTTCACTCCCTTATTGGGAACTCCAAATCTAAATTTAAAATATTTTATCATAAGCTGCCTCAATTTTTTTTTTTTTTTACATAAAGCAGGTTTGACTACTGTAAAATGTGTTCTTTATTCATTCACAAATTCTTTCTAACTAAATTTTAGCTCCATAACCTTTACACTATGTGGCCTCTCCTAAGAACACATATAAAGCAACATGTGTTGTTACCCAACCTCTACATAGCTCTCTTCTGCCTTTGGTTCCTTATTTCAATCCTTTCCTGTTCAAAACCCAGAATTAATCATTTCACTCCCTTATTGGGAACTCCAAATCTAAATTTAAATAAAATAATTTACAAAACTTCTAAAAATGAGGGGATGCCTATACCAATTCTTACTGCTTTCCCACTGGATCAGAAATTGATGCCATCTGTTTTTCTCACATCTGTGAATCACCTGTGGTCTTTTCCTGTGATGCTCTCTAACTCGGGTGTATGTAAGAGTAACTGCCAGGTTTTTATATTATAGATAACTCAGGAGGTAGATCTGTAAGCTCAGCTAGTATAATTTACTTGGTTATAATAGTTCACATCCCATGTGTATTAAAGCTCTTATTGGTGCTTCTGGTCTGAGATGCACCTGTGAACATTTATAGGTTCAACTGAAAGAATATTTTTCACCAATACTATTTTGTAATGCACAAATCTATCTTAATACTTTTAGTGTTGGTTAATACATGGAAGACATACAAAGAATGATTCAGAATATCACTTTTTTAACTTCCAAGAATTAATACTAGTCAGAATCACTTATGTAGTGAATAATGACCTAAAATCAGTGTGTAAAACTGAATTTGAGAGCATAAATAGAGCAGTTTTATGTAATTGAATATTATTCCATCCATTGCCAATCCAGTGTTCTGCTTCCATACAGTGGCATGGTGGAGCTCTTGCAAAGGTTACTCTAGTGAGGAGAGAAGATCAGTACTTCTTCCTATGCATGGGTCATCTGTGAGTCAGTTTTTAAATGGGGGCCTGTCTCTACTTTGAGGTATGTCCGGATACTAATAAAGTATTAGAACTCTTCTATGCTAGAAATACAGAAATTTTGCATGCCTTTCTAAAACTTGGAAGTAGCAATTTTCCATTTCACTAAAAATTTTATATCTTTTAGGACTTGGCAGATGAACTTGCTCTTGTTGATGTCATAGAAGACAAACTGAAGGGAGAGATGATGGATCTCCAGCACGGCAGCCTTTTCCTTAGAACACCAAAAATTGTCTCTGGCAAAGGTTGATTTCAGCAAGTTTATATTGTGGTCTGTGCTAGACTTAATTCTCTGTCAGGCTTGAAATTCTGCCTCTTCAAAGATTTATTTTTTATACAGATCAGAGAGCCTGCTTTTGAACAGTTTTGCATTGGTAACCTATTTATATCAGTTTCAATTTCTAGTAAATGGTTTTAAATGGAAATCTAGTGTGTCCATAATGTGGAAAGCATCTGAGTTAGAATGTAATTAGTAAAGCTCCTCAGGTTCATATGTAATCACATTGTTTCTAATATTTAAATTTAATATACTTGACTTCCCCTACTTCCTTTCACACACTAACACAAGGTTGAGAATAGGGTAAATGAGCCTGTTCAGATATTCTTGGGCCTCTCACACTTAAGAGCCCTAGTCAGGAAACCTGAATATGTGTACAAATGGTGTTTTTTTTGGACACTTGAAAATCATTGACCACTTATCTATGGGCTGGGTTAACCATCCTGTGCCATAGGGTATCTAGAAGCAAGACATGCTTGATAAATGTAAAGTTGCCTTTGCTTAAAAAACAAAACAAAGCAGCCTGTCTCTGGGCTGGTGTGATCACAATGAAGTAGTAAAGTAGAAATAGGAGTACGGAAGAGTGTGAGCATGTGCTCAGGTGGCAAAAAATTGGGGGATAATATCTCATTTGATTCTTTCCATCTCCTCCCAGCTGTCATTATATAAAGTCCCAGTCTAAAACCAGAATACAAGGAAGGTGTCGATGAACTCTTCTTCCATGTTAAGTGGCCAAAAACTAAAGGAGGAGCTGGGGGTGAGAGGGTAGCATTACAGGCCTTTATCTATATTTACCTGTGTGTGAAAGGAAATAGGGGAGGTAACAAAACTGATAAAAATGTCCATAAAAAAAGTTCATGGAACAAATTTTTGCTGGCTAGGTAATAGAGTTCTCTTAAAGGCCTTAATCTGGTTTTTGTTCTTTTTTTTGTCTAGATTATAATGTGACTGCAAACTCCAAGCTGGTTATTATCACAGCTGGGGCACGTCAGCAAGAGGGAGAAAGCCGTCTTAATTTGGTCCAGCGTAACGTGAACATCTTTAAGTTCATCATTCCTAATATTGTAAAATACAGCCCAAACTGCAAGTTGCTTGTCGTTTCCAATCCAGGTGAGACCTTTAATTGCACAGATGAGCTTGAGTAAAACTGATGGTCTGTGTCATATTTTTCATTTTCCTCTTGTGAATGGATTTGCTAAAATAGTTAAGTTTAAAATAACAAGGGGGATACAATGCCCCTGAATGTGGTTAGGACTTAAAAATTAGGGGCGCCTGGGTGGCTCAGTCCTTAAGCGTCTGCCTTTGGCTCAGGTCATGATCCCAGGGTGCTGGGATCGAGCCCCGCATCGGGCTCCCTGCTCCGCGGGAGGCCTGCTTCTCCCTCTCCCCCTCCCCCTGCTTGTGTTCCCTCTCTGGCTGTGTCTCTCTGTCAAATAAATAAATAGAATCTTAAAAAAAAAAAAAAAATTAGTTATTTGCCCAAGAAGATCTTAGATAAGGGATAAAGGTATGAATAAGGTGTTCTTGATGCACAGTTTATTTTCATTAAGCTACACTTCTTGAATACTTAACGAATTTGCTGTATTATGCATAGAGGTTTAAAAATTTAACAAATACTGATTGGTCATAATCACTATCAAGATTCATACAGAGCCATGGATCTTGACTAGCTTAACATTATCTAATAATTTACGTAGTATCTTTGCCCGAATGTTTTCTTCATAGTGGATATCTTGACCTATGTGGCTTGGAAGATAAGTGGCTTTCCCAAAAACCGTGTTATTGGAAGTGGTTGCAATCTGGATTCAGCTCGGTTCCGTTACCTAATGGGGGAAAGACTGGGAGTTCACTCATTAAGCTGTCACGGGTGGATCCTTGGGGAGCATGGAGACTCCAGTGGTAAGCATAACTTATTTTCTCTTTTTGTTTTCAAAAAGATTGTGTAAAATATTGACAGAAGTTTCATTATTCAATCAGAGCTGAAATCAGATAATCCATTCATTGGAGTAGGATGGTTTCTAGAAGTCTTATCTTTTGGTATAATTATGTTAAGAATTGTTAAGGTTTTAATTTTTATATTAACATTTTTTTATGGCATGGGGAATGGGGAATGAAATTTCTTTTACTACTAACAATGGACATATTAAAATAAGAGGGTAGTTCTTAGGATGACCTCAGTCATTTGATATCACAGCTGTCTATACTTGAACTGTATGGCTCTGAAAAGGTCAGCCAATCCAAATAAAGCAGATAGAAAAATTCTGTCACAGTTGAAAGATGTTGTAATTTGTGCAGTGTTCTCAGTTACTTATGCCAAGAATATTCCCCATATGATCTCATACTATCTTTATATTTCAAACATGTATGGATTAAACATCCCAGTAGATTGAAAACAGGTTAGAATATGGTGAAAATTCTTAGTTTTATATAAATTAATGAATGAAAATTTAAGAGTAAGGGTGTTGGTATTCTTGACCATCTACCAAAAGCAGATAATTCTCCCAGATAAGAAATGAGAATTAGAAAAATGGGTCAGAATTACTAGTCTTGTTACCAATACCCAAGTTCGGCTCCCCATAGCTCAAAAGGCCAGAACTCAAGAGGTGAGTTTTGACTGGAAAGGAATATGAGCTTTATTCAGGAGGCTGGCAACCTGGGGGAGAAGGCAGACTCTTGTCTAAAAGCCCAACTCAGGTTTCTGCCTGGCCCAGAGATTTTTGAAGGTGTTTAATCAGTTGAGGGAACGCAGTGATCTGTGACATTCTTGATTACATGCAGATTTAATGATGCCAGTTAGAGTTATCTCAGTGCTTGGAGGTTTTGCAAGAAGTTCTAGTTCCTTGGTGCCCAGGGGGATTGTACAAGAAGGTCTGGTTCCTTGGTACCAAGGAGTTGTGCAAGAGTACTCTGTTCTTTCTGTAGAGGAGGGCAAGGTCTACAGATATTCAAAGGGAAGTCAGTAAAGTCATTTGTCTGACCTTAAAAAAAGGAAAACATTTTGCTGAAAGATTGCTAGGCTAAACAGAAAGGTGAGGCGGTTTCAAACAGACTTGCTGGCCTCTGTGGCCTGGGAAAGTTCTTGTTCTTTATTTCCGAAGGCCAGTGGTCTGCAAATCTCAAAGAAAGTGACTTAGTGCTGTTACAGATCAAGGGTCTTAAGTCAGCAAGCAAGGAGTATGTTCACTTGAAGCAGGTTAACTGTTAAGACCAGTTCAAGTGCTATTGCGGTCTCCTGGATGGCGTGTGGAAATAAATGTATTCTGTACTATTTCTTTTAGTGCCTGTATGGAGTGGAGTGAACGTTGCTGGTGTCTCTCTGAAGAATCTGCACCCTGACTTAGGCACTGATGGAGATAAGGAACAGTGGAAAGAGGTTCACAAACAGGTGGTTGACAGGTAATAGATCCCATAATTTGGCAGTATAGAAGATTAAAACATTATTTTTATTTGAAAGTTTAATAGCATTTGAGTACTTGTTGGAAAACATTTTTCTAGGGATGCCTGGCTGGCTGGCTCAGTTGGTGGAGCATGTGACTCTTGATCTCAGGCTTGTGAGTTCGAGTCCCGCGTTGGGTGTAGAGATTACTTAATGATAAACAAGCTCTTTCCTAAAGTTTTGTTAAAGAGCATACTATAAAACGGAAGTAGAGATATTAAAATTTATTAATGCAACAGTCTTTTTTTGCTATATTTCTCTGTAGTATGATAAATCTTTTAGTGCTTGTAAGTCTTATTTCACATTCAGTCTTCAATAGCATATATGGTTCATTCAGTTAGGAATGAGAATTTTTATTTATTAAAGTTTTCTTTATTGCACCCCATGTGGGACTTGAACTCACAACCCTGAGATCAAGAGTCACATGCTATATGGACTGAGCCATCCAGGTGCCACAGAAATAAGAATATTTATTTATTTTTTAAGAAAAGATTTATTTATTTGAGAGAGAGCGTGTGCGTGTGGTGCAGGGGAAGGGCAGAGGGAGAGAGAGAATCTTAAGCAGACCTCCCTGCTGAGCATGGAGCTTGACATGGGGCCATTCCCACGACCCAGAGATCACACTCTGAGCTGAAAACAAGAGTCCGATTCTCAACCGACTGAGCTACCCAGGTGCCCCAAGAATTTTTAAATTCAGTTTCCTGTTACAGGCTTTATGAATAGAAGCAGCTAACTTGTTTATTCAGATGATTATAAAGTTTTTTGTTTTTTTTTTTTAAAGATTTTATTTATTTATTTGTCAGAGAGACAGAACACAAGCAGGGGGAGAGGCAGGCAGAGGGAGAAGCAGGCTCCCTGCCAAGCAAGGAGCCCGATGTGGGACTCGATCCCAGGACCCTGGGA